CAGGAGCTCATCACAGGAGCTCATCCTGTGTAGCGGAGCACAGAGGGAGAGACATGAAGTAAACAAACGAGCAGGAAAATGAAACTTATCGCCCCCTTTTTTTTTACCGACCTCAAAAAAAGTTATCGTGCAATTAATTGATTTATTGACTATCGCGACAGGCCTAATTGTGAAAAATGGAGGCAGAAGATGACTTTTTTAATTCTTATGTATTACAGTTCGTGTTTTTTAACCTTTTTTCTTAAAAGTATCCACAATTACTTGTAAAATTAGATATTAGTTGATAAACATTTGCTGAAACTGTAAAACAGACTGTAAAGATACAGTAGACTATTTAGTTTTTATACATTAAAAATATATTGTCACACAAATGGTGCCATTTTATTAACGCCGCAAAGCATAATGGGTAAAGGACGTTTACTAGGTGTTCCAGTGCGAGGAAGAGCTTGTTTGGCACATTTGCCAAAAACAGAGGTGTTGGTAAAATGTATGAGATCCTACAACCACTAAAATCTTCCATCACTCCATTTTTGTTTACATTGCGTGGAGAAAACAAGTGTCATCTTCAGAGGCTTGTCATTTCCTACATTGGTTCTTGGTGCAGCACCACCACAGGCAAGGGTGTAAACAGGTTGCTCAAATGATTTGTTTAGTTTGGTACAGTCCAGCTGAAAATGTAAATAAATGTTAAAAAAATTATCCTTAATCAAATCCAGTCAACCTGAAAATGTGGTCCTTGTTTGAACAAAGTCTACCTGAAAATGTGGTCCCCGATCGAACAAAGTCTACCTGAAAATGTGGTCCCCATTCGAACAAAGTCTACCTGAAAATGTGGTGCCCAGTCGAGCAAAGTCTGCCTGAAAATGTGGTCCTCAATCGAACAAAGTCTACCTGAAAATGTGGTCCTCAATCGAACAAAGTCTACCTGAAAATGTGGTCCCCAATCAAACAAAGTCTACCTGAAAATGTGGTCCCCAATCTATCAGGCATGAAAACACCCTAAAATTGTTTATCATAAAATAAGCAGAAGTTATCAGAAAAATAAAACTGTGAGCCACAAATGATTAACTCTGAGAGAAATCAGTCGGGATAATCAGTAATAAAAAATAATGGGTTTTTAATGAGATGTTCAAATATATAAACAAACTTGCAAAAATATATTTAAGACTAGAGCTGAAAATCTTTTTATCACTGAGGTGAGGTACCCCATAATTGTTTTGTCAAACAAGGATTAGCCAAAGCACTTGTCTGACTTCAGTTAAGTGATGTATTGGGAGGATAATGTGTTGAGATAATAAAATGAAGATGATTGTTTTATTTTTTCCTATTTAAATACAACAAATAATTGCAGTCAGCTCGTAGAACGGCCTCACATTGAGGTGCAAATGTCTTTTTTCGTGTGAATGATTCACTGTTGGATCATTCTTAGAGGTGCTTTTCTGTATGTGGCAAAAAATAATTCAGATTTATTTATTTTTTGTTGTCGTCACGTTTTTTTGACGCTCTGATTTCTGGTGAGACTTTCTTTGCGTTCACACATGAGAAGACACAAAGGTCATTATGAGTGTGTATCCATCCGAAGCCACATATTCTGTTTGTCTACACACTGCAGAAGTGCCTTTATGAATCATTTATCCTCCTCCACTTTTTCTACATGGCAGCCTTATGTGGAAATGTTGTAAATTTCAATTTCCTCTGATTTATCTGTGCGCGAAACACATAATGACACGGCAAACAGTATTCTGGAAGACATTTTTCTTCTTTTCACCAAAAGCGTCTTTGCTGGTGAGTTTTCTGAGTCTTCAGATGTGATGAGATTTACATACCTGGATTTGTGGGATTTTCTGCCATTCTGTCTCTCAGATCCTCTGGAGCTCTTTCAGGCTGGACTGAGTGGCGGTGCAAGGCTATTTTTAAGTCTGAGGCAGAGATGGATGTTTGGGTTGAAGTCAGGTCTTTGGCTGGTAGACCCAATCAGAATTGCCCTGAAGCTACTCCTGTGTTGTCTTTTGTCCCTCTGGAAGCTGAACTGTTGGCGAAAACTCAAGTTATTTTTGAGATATTTCAGCAGGTTTTCATTAAGGATAAATGTGTATTTGCTTCCTTCAGGCTTTGCTGTTCTTTTCTGTCTGAGCCTGCCAGTGGTGAGGGGGAGCCCTCACACCATGATGCCGATTAATGTTTAAGATGAACCTTTCTGTAAAGAGGCGTTTGCATTTCTCATCTTGAGTGGGCGATAAACAGCTTCTTTTTCTTCCAGCGTGGTTCTTTGAACCGAGTTCACATTTGTTTGGATTTCGTCAGATCAGAAAATCTTTGAGAATCCTTTAGGTGCTTTGTCTTCATTAGACTTGTTGAAGCTCAAACTGAGATTTCACTTTTGCCGAGGACAACCTTTTGTTTGGCCTCCATTTGGCCACTCTGCCTTAAAGCTTCAAATCAATGGAGAGCTGCAGTGGTGGTTGTCCTTGTTATAGTTTTTCTTACACATCAGATCAATAAAGCCCAGCCTGGGTGGCTGGACTCTGTTGGAGGCCTTGGCTACTTTGCTTACCAAAGCACTTCTCCACGGATAGTTGTTTTGCCAGGCAGCCCACTCGAGGAACAATCATTGTACTTGTCTCCGTTGAGAAGGATTAAGTTTTTATTAGCTCGGCTCTTTGATAAAACCTTGTTTTGAATTGTATTTGGTGGGATTTTGAATAAATAGGCCTGTACATGCCTGGCTACTTGAGCCTCAGTGATCTTTAAATCTTCTGTTTTATTTTTACTTTAAATGCTTCATCACTATAGGTTATCAAGTATGGAGTAAGAGACCTTTAAATTTATATGGTAGCTAAAGCATACTTGCCATTTTTCATTGGATCTTTGCAGAGACAGGGTTCCCGTGGATTCTAAAGTCTTAAAAGGCATTGAATTTATCAATCCAAAAATAAGGCCTTAATTA